TTTCTTCCTCTTCATTATATTTTCTATTCTTTTTTCTTTTATGTTAATTTTTTATTAAAATCAAAGAAACGTTATATCTAAAAGAATTAAAAAGAGAAACAACAAATGAAAGAAAAAGTCAGAAAATAAACAGAAAAGGGAAATGAGCTTCAGTGCAAAAAAAGAGAAAATGTTTCAATAATTTTTGTTTAATGAAAATTAATCAATAAGGGCCTTTTTTAGATAGAATATGGGCAACAGTGTAAATTTGGAAATCATTAAAAAACTAATAGTAAACATTTACCAATCTACAAGAAATACTATGTATTAAACTCATCATTAAAACCTCTAAATTAATAAAGTAAAAAATTAAAAAATGACTACCATTGAATTACCCGTAAGTAATGGAAAAGAATTAAGGAAGTGACATGGGGCCATTTTACAAACTTTTAAAACTTAAGTGAAGCACACGTTTATTAAGCTTATGTGCATCAAATTACACATGGCATTCATTCAATGGAAGGGCATGGATGCCCCTTGAATTTAAAAGGCATGAGAGAAAATCCCTCATATATATAGTACATCAAGTTACCAAACTATCTAAGGTAACATATTCCTACAAGGAAACTATATACAATATGTACAATATTCTCTAATAGGTATCAATTTTTTTTAAATATTTGTATGGTTTGTTAGACATAGCTCGATGTTCTTACTCCGATTAGGTCCAAAAAATTTACATCATTATACCACATGAGAATAATGTTTCTCATCTTAATACAAACAAATGTTGTAGTCTATTTGGAATATTCGATTCTTATTCATTGGCCCTCCTTGTATTTAGGACGTACACGGTCCCAAACCGGAACAATACCGATAGGAGGGACGGGGAACTCAATCGGAATGGCCATTAGAAAGGAAGGGGGGACAATTTGGGTTCTAACTTCTAATAGCTCTAATTCACATTTTTCTTTCTTGCCTAAACTAGTAAATGGGTGGTGACATTATGCATTTTTCCAATAAATAAAAAAGCAAAACCAAATAAAACAGAATTGACAATAGAACTAAAACCGTACCACCGATTGTGGAAGACGAAACAACGTGCGTTAGGTTTATCCCTACCTTGGAGCATCTCCATCCTTTATATGAATATTCATCCACCCAATCATTTTCTCTCATCCACATTATTCATTTTTAAATACCTTATTTTTTAAATAAATACTCACAACCCATTTCATCCATCCATCTGTTTAATTAATTATTTATGTGTCCCAATTTACTTTATTTTATATTTATTTTAAATTAAAATAACATGAAAAATATTAAATTAAATATTTAGAAATTATATGAGTTTATATTTAAAAGAATTAAATTAGAGAAGAAAATTACAACAGTATTTTAATTAAATAAAATATTTAAATATTTTGAAATCAAAATCTAAAAATTTAATAATTTAATTAAATAAAATAATTAGCTATTTTGAGAATAAATATTACAAATTCAATATTTTAAATAAATACAATAAATATTTAAATTAATAAGCCCCACATTTAAATGCATCCAATGGAATGGATGTTTAACCGTCTCTTTCCATCTAATCAAGCACTCACAATCGAGTAAATGACACCTTCCATCCATCCATAATTTTAAACACCTCTTAAACATCACCAATGGAGATGCTCTACCATTATTCACTTATAATAATAACGTTGCTCTCTTTTTCACTCATAATAATACCAATTATATCAAAGATGTTCCCAATTTTAACTAGGGTGAACACTCCTTTGGGTTTACAAGAGAGCCTGACATATGTCATACTTCCCCGTCCCTTAGTATTTGTCCACTTTTGACTTTTTTTGATCAAAATTGGTAAACTTTGACCTCAAATTAAATAAAAAAGATAATATATATTGATACAAAAAGAGTTTTCTTAGATGTATTATATCAAATATTTTCAAAATATTATTTTATTTCATTAAAATACAATATATATTTTATTTAATAATAGGTCAAAGGTTGAAGACAGTTGATCGAAAAAAATTGAAACTGGACAAATACTCAAGGACAGAGGTAGTAAAAAAGATATCAACCTAGCTAAGACCAAAATATTAGTCTGAATGTCTGATTCCAAAATAAGACTACTATATACTCTGGTATATTTTTCTCGAGAACAAATCTATTGTATAGTGATAATGTACTCAATTTTGATAGTGCATATTGACATTCCATAATATTTTTGGTGACACATGTATGTATTATTGGCATTTTAAGTCTTATTTTACAGAAAAACACATAAAAATCTTATTTTGTTCTCCTTACTATATATTAGTCATATTTTGGTCTTGTCCTCATGTCATAATGTAAATAATGAGCACATACTAGCATCCCTAGCTAATACATATTACAGATAACACACTAATAAGAACTCTCGAAGCATGTGGCTACCACATTACTCAGATGTAAAGCTTCCATTTCCTCTTTTCCTCTTGCAACAATACTGAAACACACACAGGGGTGGGTTCAGTTTTGGCGGTTCGGTTTTTACCCAAAACCAAAGACAAAACGGAAGGTAAATTGGCGATTCGATTCGGTTCGATTTTGCATAAGAAATATGTAAACCGTTGGTTATTCGGTTCGGTTTTATGCGGTTTTTATCTTGGTTTTTTTCGGTTTTTTCGGTTTATAAAAGTAAATATTTATAAGCATTAAAAATTGTATAAATACTAACTCGACGAAACAATAACAATACGTAAGTTTGGGTTTGGTTTTTTTGCTTGATTTTTACACACAAAAAAGCCGAGCAAAAGGTTTGTGTTCTCATTGGTTCAATTTTATATACAAAATATGTGTCAAGTGCCTAACAAACATCTAGAAGATTCTAAATAATCTTAAAGATATCGTATGTAAAATCAATTGCAGAGAATTTAGATTTTTTTATATAATACTTTCATTTTTATTATAACATCAAAATTTTTTTTATTTAAATATGCTAACTACTCATTTTAATTTTTAATGTTATATAATTCTATATTAGGATTAGTTATTGGTGTTTATATTCTTAGATTTTTTAAAGTTTATAATATTGTTAAAATGTTTAATTAATAGTTAAGAAAAAAACTTTAATTTACTAGTAATTTATTTGCATTTTTGTTTATATGATTTTTATACATATCACATATACTCATATAAATAAAATGAAGCATATAAATAAGTTTGGTTTATTCAATTCGGTTCAGTTCGGTTTTTCAAAGTAAAAACAAAAACAGAACCAAACAATAACGGTTCGGTTCGGTTTTTTTACATTCGATTTCGGTTTTTTCGGTTCGATTTTCGGTTTTCCCAACCCAGCCCTACACACAGACATACAGACACACACACTGTGTGTGTGTGTCTATATATATATATATATATATATATATATATATATATATATATATATATATATATATATTAATAATCTATATGTTAAGACAAATCAAACAAGATCACACATGACTATATTTAGGCTTACACATTGAGAGAATTTGATGAGTCAAAGTGCTTAGATGAACAGTTCCAAAAGTCAAAAGTAGATGAATACTCCGGGACGGAGGGAGTACGATGCATTGGCACCCTCACACTGCTTACACTCTTGAATGCACCATAACTTAACCAATACACACATACCAATATATAACAAGCATTATAACTTATACAAATGTACCATAGGCAACGAATGCATATTTCAAAACCAAAACAACTTTACTCAACCTATACTGTTTATATAATACTAAAAGATTTTTGCAACACTACAATAATCATATACTAAATCTCGCAAGACTGTCCATTGCACCACACCAATGGAATGTACCAATAAAAGCCCAACCACGTTGCACAATCACAATACGATAGTGCTACTATTAAAAAAGGACCTTAGGAAGCCAAATACACGCATTCAGAACAAGAATATGCACTATAACCTATTCACACGACCCAAATTGATGAATACTTTGCACACAACTGATAAAAGTAAAGTATAAAAACACTGGACATATACTTCATTACCCCAATCAGCATAACAAAATCAAAACACAGATAACCACAGTCAAAACATGCTACACACTCACACTACGCTAGTGCATATATCAAACAAATACAACACAATCTACTCAGTATACTCTCAGGACAATAAAAAACATAATAACCAATATCAATCTTCCCAACTGATGAAAAATGTGCACAAAACATAATAAACCCTAACTTCAAAATAAAAATTCATATTTTATAGATTCAACTTACCCCCTCATCTTAGCCAACTCACAGTGCACAAAAAACGGAACATTATGCCAAGACATTACAATGCACCACTACTTACTTAACCAACTTCCCAAAAACAACAGAACAAAAAAAAACCTCCATTCACTCCACATCTAGAATGCACAAAGAACCCAAACTGAAATGAAACAATACTTATAAAATGCTCCATTTTGGCCCAAATTCAGAGACTAAAAAAAATCCCAAATCATTGTAACCAAAGGACTATTGAAAACCAGCATGCACCACAGTCTCCTTCCCTCAACTAAAATCATGAAATTCAAACTAAAAATAAAAAACATCAATGTGCACTCTGAAACCAACATTCCAACACAAAACCAGTATAACAAAACACCTTGTCTACTCTTTTGAAAAAACTTTGATTTTCAAAACCCAGAAACCAAAAACCTCTTCCACTTCCCAAAATCTGTCTTAAGCCACCCCACTTTTCACTTTCAACCACTATCGTGAGTAAAGAATGCATCGTTAAATACATGCAAAATACGAACACCCCAAAACCGCAATATCCCAAAAAAACCACCCAAAAATGGCACATACCAGGTACTCCTTCACCCTCCATCTCTACAATTTCACCTTCAGCAGTACGAAACGCGCAAAACTCCCACCCAAATCTTCCAATTACACCTTGAGACTGAAAAATCTATGCACTACTAGCCGCAAGAAAGGTAGCGCAACTCGCGAGGTTTATTGAGAAGTGAAGAGTTCTATTCAGAGCCTGCTGCTTATTAGGCGGGATTCTCCAACATTTACGCCTTTCACTAAAATCAAATCTCCCAAATATGCCCCTCCACGATTCTACTGTCAAAAGTAGTGTAAAATAATAATTACACTTCCTAATTTAAAGATAGGATCTCAGCCACACGATGGAACAAATCCTAGGCTCATAATTTATTCTTATTTCTTTCATTGAGACATATTCTTATTAAAACCCACCCCTATATATATATATATATATATATATATATATATATATATATATGACAATGGAGCAAAAAGATCCTTCTTCACCTATCAACAAGCTTTGCAAAACAAGAAAAAGAACCTTCTTCACCAACTGTATTTCTTTTGCATCATACACCCAAATGTGGCTATGCATTTATTTTATACTCCCTCCGTTCCTTTAAACCCTTCATATTTCGACTTTGGACCAAAATAAAGAAAGTGTAATTTTGGTTGACTTTCCAATTTTGCCCCTGATGTGATGGGTAAAAGTAAGATGTGATAGTTAGGTTATTAGTGAAAAAATATGATGTCATAGGTAGGGTATTAAAAAGTAGGGGTAAAAGTGATTTTTTAATAGAAAGTGGAAGCGTTTTAGGGAATTGGAAAAAAATGAAAGGGAGGGTTTTATGGGACGGATGGAGTAGTATTTGAACAAAACAATGAGCATAATGACAATAAGATAGCAAATGATCATTGTAATAAATAGGCAGACCAGACCTTGATGGAAATACACAAAGAAAGAGATTAATTATTAATAAGCATCATTTACTAGTCCTTGTAAACTCTTTGCAAGTGAAGAAAAATAATGCAAAGGAAAATCATTTTTTTGTGTCACTAGGGATATCATAGTTAACACAAACAAAATATGTTCAAATAGATATCTAGAATTCATACTATCAAAAAACATTTAAGCCCAATTTTTGTTCATTCAATATTCCCATTCAGTTTCCTTGTAAATACCTTCCATAGCATTTTCCGAGTCCCAATAAATCTGTAGGAAGTAGCCTGTCCGGGATGAAATAAGTATTCACTACGCACCAGCAGAGAATTATGTATCTGTGCAAGTAAAAACAGTAGAGTGAAAACCTTTCTCTTAGAAATGTGACCAATGGTGGAGTCCCTCATAGAACACGATTCTTGCTAGTATTTCCTTAATTGGATCATTACCTGGGAACTTTCCAAGTCTCATTCTAAGAAAAAATCGTGAACCTTCTTAGCAGAGGCTAAAAAAAAACAAAATTTCCCGAGCCGCAGCAGCGAAGAAGTTGGGACTGAAGTGTCAGATTGTTCCCAAAAGAAACTGCAAAAGATTATTCGTTAAAGCAAGCACTTGCATTACAATATGTATCATTACCAATTTTGCAGTTCAATTCTGCCATGCCAAGTTTCAATTAATAATTTATAGCCTATGAAAGAAGAATAAACATAAAACAAGTACTATACAAAGTAAATTCAAGAAAAAATTTGGCCATGAGGATGATTTCCATTTCATATTCTTACTATAAAAGTCACATTACATGAGACTGATAGAGTTCAAAAGACTAGTGTCATCATAGCCTTTATACCAAAACCGTTATGGCCTTGGTGTTAGGCAAACACAGTTTACTCATTTTACTGGAACGTAACACTGAATTTTCAACGCTCACGATAAAATTAGAAACATGAAAGAATCAACTAATGACAGAATAAAAACATAAACACATAGAATTGCTCAATTGCATGTATGTGTCAATGTCATGTAAAAATCAAAAGAAATTTGGTTACGAGGATGATTCAACTTCGTATTCTTACTCTTAGAGTCACATTACATGAGACTGATAGAGTTCATAACACAAGTGTTATCATCATCATCATTTTAATTTCATATTCTTATACCAAAACCTGTATACTGCAAACACAATTCGCTCATATTATTGCAATGCAACACATGGAATTTTCAATGGTCACCATAAAGTTGGAAACTTGAAAGAATCAACAACTAATGACATAATAAAGACACAGACACATATAATTGCATGCATATATCAATAGATTCCTGAGTTTCCGAGTGGCGGCTTCCTCACACCGCTTAAGGCCAGTTGTTTCTTCCATTTTATTACAAGAAAATGCAGAGAAAAGAAAGGGAAATTAAAAAAAAACATACTTTGTAGGAAACGAGAAAAGAAGGAAGAATTCATCACTTATACCTAGATGAATGCTGGAGGCTAGGAATCCATCCACTCACCAGGTTTGGCATATACTGATATACAGACACCCAAAAAACACAAAATGACAAAATAAAAAACATCCAGATTTAATTTATGAAAAAATTTGGTTCCCAGGGTTTTCAATAGCTGACACTAGGGTTAGGAACTCAATGAAAACCAAAAATTTAGCAGATGAAATCCAAAATAAACGCAGAGAACACAGAATCCGCAGGTTTGAACGTGTGAAAGGGGTTCGAGGAAACCAAGATTGGAGCAGATAAAAGGAGAAAGATTGGAAGGAGGAAAAAATTTGGACCATTTCTCGATTTGTGCGTGTCATCCTTGCGCAGGG